CGGAAAAAAAATTATTTTCTGAAAAAAAAAAGTTTTGGGGGTTAATGTGATATATTTGTTAAAATCCGGGGTCAATGTGTAATATTAAAGAAGTTAGAGCATAATGGGTGGAATTGATACGAATTAGGGTTAAAATTGGGGTCAAAATTAAAATTTGGGTTAAAATTGGTTAATTGATGAAATTGGGCTAAATTGTGGTGTAAATCATGAAATTGGAGTTAAATTGGGTTTCAAATGAATTGGGGGTAATTTTGGTATATATAAATGGATTTTCCTTATTTGCAAATAAGTTTGAATGGGGTGGATTTATTTGAAAGACAAAAAAGTTGGATGTCCCTATTTTAGTTAAGTGCCCTTGTCATGGGCCTATTTGTCATTACCCCTTATTCAAAATGGAATTTTTTGGGTTGAAACACGTTTTCATATATTTATTATTACCAGCAACGTCCTTACAACTTTTAATAGAAACGTCCTTAAAACTTTTAATATTTACGAAAAGGGCTCGAAACGTTTCCAACAGGTGTCACAATGTTTCGGTTTTCGAAACGTTTACGGAACGCCGAAACTGAGTATGTATAGGTAAGAACTAATTAATTATTATTTAGTCTCTACATATTTGAGGAGGTAGGTTTCTTGGTGAAGACAACCAACATGCATTTATCATTTGTGAATTATTAAAGGTGATGAAGTACACAAGATTGAGATTTGATTTTGAGATATGTTGAATCTTTTGGGGAAATTTGAGTTATCAAAGAAGAAGCGTGATAGAGAATGTGGGCCCCGCCCCCTTTCATGTGAACAACCACTTTAAAGGATTGATTGATTGATTGAACCAGAATCCTAACCACAATCAACGGCCCAGATTAAGAGTCACTACTCTTCTCAAAAGTTCTCTCTTTATCAATTAGTAAATAATTAACTATGTAAAGGAATATTAGTTTGCTACTTATATTTAACTTCATATGAACAACCTTTTTATTCGGCCCATTTGTATTAATTCAACTGATTTTATGTCAAATACTTGAAAATTTAAGTGTTATTGGGCTTATGGCTTACCACGTATGGTTGGTGTATTTGATTTGTTTTATGTATCCATCATTAAAGTTGAATTTCCGGATGGCTTAGCGATTGCAGCAAATTAGTTTGTGTCAATTGACACAAGTTCGAATCCTCTTGCTAACGGTCGTTAGGTCGAGCTTGCCACACATAATTAGCCTAGTGCAGTTTACGTCTCTCGTATGGTTTCCAAGCTATTATACGACCCAATATATTTATATAATTGGCTGCGAGAATTCTCATTACCAAACAGTTTAATTTGATTTGCAGCCATCACTGCAAGTGAACAAATTGTTTAGTATTTAAATTGTGATAAGCATCTTTAACATGACACTTATTCCTTAAGTAATTTTTAGGTAAAGGATCAATTCCATTAGTTGGAAAGTCAATTTAATGATAAGTTAAAATGCAGTGACGGAGCCAGCATTGTGCAATGACGGAGCTAGCATTGTGCAAGAGGGAGCCATGCCGCCCATTTTGATTATGCGCTATCTAATTTCATTTTAACTTCCGATAAATTAAAATCTCATTATTTGTACTAATTAACTATAATTAGAAGTTGCATGCCAACAATAATGATAATTAAAGAATACGAATGAATATAAGAACCCTACAAACAAGTAAAGAACAAAAATCAAAGGTTTTCACTATGCTAAAATAAAAATCAAATTTTCATCCCATACTTTATTGACAGATGGCAAAAAATACTGCGACCACTCAAACGTACTGCCGGGATGGTGCGATTGAGCCGGACTCCGCCGCCAAACAACCACCACCAACCACCACCTGCGCTGTGGTGGTAACTCGGCTGTTTGGTGGTTTTACGACGGCGTTCTTTGCCTCGCTGCAGCGGTGCTCATGCATTAATATTACCACCGCAGATGATTTCGATGACGACGACTGTGGTAGCTTGCCGTCGATTGCTGATGACATCATGTTTCCGGCCGCTGATGTCATATGCACAAGTAACCGTCAGGAGGATGAGCTGGAAGATCACGTGGCCGTGGAAATTGAAATTGAATAACAACTTCAACAATATTATTATTACCACAATTATTCAAGTTGTTACTGAAAGTTAGTTTAATTTAATTTGTTTACTTGATAACATAAAATATTGTTACTGAAATTTAATTTGTTCAAAAATTACCAATGTGTAATCTCGAAATAGTGGAAAACCAGACCGGCGAGCATCAAGGCCTGTTTGGCCTTGTGAAGGCCCCGGATGGCGATTAGGCGGATCGGCTGAAGGAAAAATGTCTGCAATGAACCGGTCGGGTTCATATAATCAAATCCGATTTGGGAAAATTGCAATTAAGTCCCTAATTTAAGTTTAAAAACTTTAGCATAAATTCCAATTTAGTCTCTATGTTTTTTTGGGATTCAATTTATCCTACAGTTTATGTTATTGTAATTCTAAATTATTTTATTGAAGGGTGTATTTGTCATTTTATCTTCGATCAACAACTAAAATCATAATGGACTGATTCTGTTATTTAAAAAAGAAATCACATGGATTCCTTTTGCCATTTTATTTATAACATATGATTTTTCACTATTTCAAGATTACATGGTCATAATTTTTGCGGTTTACTCATATTTTATGCTGTAGAGTAAATCATATGCGATAAACGGGATATGATGAATACAAAACTTCTGCAAAACATACACGACGTACGAACCCAAAATATCGCGGTTTACACAGCATTTAGAACCAGAATTTACTTAGGGAAACTTATAAATTTGATCTAGCTCAAATTTAGTTTTTCTTGAATTGAGGTGCAGTAAATGTTGGTCTAAATTAATTATGCCAAGAAAAAGTGCGATAATATTCTAAACGGAGAAAAATTCAGGGACCAATATGAAAGTTATTAAGATTTCCAGGACAGTTAATTAAATCACGTTTTTCAATTGTTCATGTCACAAAATGTGGTCCAGATCCATGTTGCTGTTTGGTATTTCCACATTTTACTTTTCAAATAAATATTTAAAGTTATAATATAACCATCACGTACTCTTGACTGGCATCTGCGGAAACTTGCACAAGTCATATATACATAATAAATTCAAAAAAAGTAGAAATCTGAACTTCGAAAATGGGAATGAAAAGTACTGTTTCAAATACGGATATTTTCGAATCGGAATTGGCGGAATTCGAAAATTCCATTTCCGATTTCCACCACTCGTTTGAAGTATTCTTTTCTCTTTCTAAAAGATATGCTGATCAGTTATATATCACTTGTGTTTAAGGGAATGATTTCGAATATTTAAATTCATATAAAGTGAACTTCAATAATCTTCTTGCAGGAACTCAAAAATCAGATTAAATTAAAAGTTAGGTGATTTAAAAGTTATGTTGAATGAATTTATCTAAAAAAACTCAAGAAATTCGTTATACTGATTGAAAATCTTTATCCAAATATTTCCAAATTGGGGTTCTAAAAGCAGCAATTAGGCTGTTAGTACAAACTTATCATGCAATTAACTCAACACCAGGTAAAGTTAACAAATTAAAGAGGTTTAATTATTCCAATGTAATTTATAGTAATAATTCACCGATTAGTATATTTAAATTCTAATTATACTCTAAATTACGATAAAGCGATAAAAAAAATATTTTACCAGTTTTCCACGCTTAATCCAAAAAAGAAAAAGGAAAGAGAAAAGTCGATTAGAACCTAATTAGGTCGACGATAATTATCATGGTTGGTACGGTAATAGAATCTAATCACAATTAGATGTTAATCATCTGCTAATAACGACGAAAACAGGGTCTTAACCTAAAATTCTATCACCTCGGAGAAACATCATATCAATCAATCATAAAACGATAAATAATTACACGACCAAAAAAAAGTAGTGTGATTCAGTCAATAGAAAAAGAATTAATAAGTGACTACAAAAACAATTAATAGTGACAACAAAAAAATATATTATCACTCAATATATGCATGTAGTGGCAAATTATGATACACTTAATTAATAACTTATTAATTTACGAAAACTGATTTATATATAATCAAACACACATCGAAAACATATCTCGAAAAGACAAGTGAAATAGAGAGAATATATTATGTATAAATTTAATTTGGGTTGTCGGCCTCGTGCTAACCAATTTAAATTAGACCATAAATTAAAGTTAGTGAGAGGTTGGTTTCTGTTTATTCTCTAACACTGTTCTACCGACCTAAATATTCTTATTCCAGCAAACTTAATTTCATGCCACCCAACTAATTACTAAGTAAGTAATATTAATCGGAATTAACATTAATGAAAAGATTAAAAAGACACCTATTATTAAAATAGCATTTTTTTTTTCTTTTTATCTTAAACCGAATTAATAGAGTGGGCAAAGGATGGTGCTAACAAAATGCGCGGCTATAAAGTAGGTTTCACATTCATTTTCAGAAAGAATTTTGTGTCCCATTTTGTCTTAAGAAATTGTTTCCCATGTAGTAGAATAGAATATACTCCATTGATGCCATTTTAACTGTTTTTTTTAAATTAATTTTACCCTTGACCATTAATCGTAAAGAGATGAGAATTCAGTCATTTGCCTCATGAAATAATCTTATTATATTGATAATTTTAATTTTTTTTTAATGAAGAAAGCCGCAACCAACTATAAAAGTGCAATCATACGAGAGATGTAAACACTAAGTTAACCAACCATTTGCGATAAACTCTACCTAACGACGACTGTTGGCAAACGAATTTGAACTTTGTTCTATAAACACAAGTTCTCGTGCTCAAACTGCTAGATCATCCTTTGTAGCGACATTTTTTTTTTTTTTTCTAATAAGTTAAAAGGTTGTTTAATGACTTTATAATACATGACCCTAAACTTTACATGAGAATTAAAATATTACGAAACGAGTAATGACATTTTTTTAATATAAACAAAGTAGTAATGAAATTGCATTGATTGGGGCTAGTGTAATATGAAAAATTAAAAATATCACGAACAAAATTAAACTACAAGGCGAGTGAGTAGTATGGTCTTGACGTAAGCAAAACTTTCCAGGCGATTGGCTCTTTACCGAGCGACACGTGTCCACTAAAATCCGACCTGTTTTATTTCTTCATGACTAAGCTTAAGTGGGACCCGCATGGTGATGTAAGCACAAAACACCCTTTCCCAAAAGCTAACCACCGGTCCACCACCAGTTAGTGCCGCCTGACTCAAAAGTTAACCCCATGGTATTAGTCAATGACGAAAATACCCTCGTGCGGGCCACAGAAACTGCCCACGGGTTTTGCTCTTAAATACCGCTCTCATATCCTTCTATTCTTCCCTTTTCCCCTTCTCTCCTCTCCCTCTCTTTAAAAAAATTTCCGGCGATGTTGTCCACTTTTCCGGCCACTCTTTCCGGCGACTCGTTCGTCGGAAACTTCCTCCCTTCTTTCGAACCCGGTTTTCCGAACTGGGAATTCCACGAGCCTTCGTTTTTGTTTAATGATCAGGAACCGGTTCTCTTTAGCCCACACCCTTCCCATGAACCGGTCACTTCGAACTCCGGTTCAGACGCGTCGAACCCGGCTCTGAGTCCCGATTCGTGTGAAGCGAATCAGAATCAAAACTCCGGGTCGGACGACCGTAACCCGAATCATAATAACTGTAAGAAGGTCGTAGACGAGAGAAAGCGTAGGCGCATGCTGTCGAACCGGGAGTCGGCGCGCCGGTCCAGAATGAGAAAACAGAAACACACGGAGAACTTGAGGAACCAAGCGAACCGGCTTAAGGCCGGGAACCGGGAACTAATGAACCGGCTCCGGTTTGTTGTGCACCAATCCCAAATGGTCCGGTCGGAAAATGAATACCTCATGTCGGAGGCGGCGGTTCTCCGGCAGAGACTTTGGGACATACGCCAACTACTTCTCGTCCGCCACCTCCACCAGCAGCTCTTGAATCCCTCCGCGTGATCGATCGCCATGCACGCACTAATTAATAACGTCGGAAAATTTAACGCGTTTCCAACGTCTTTAATTACTACTTAATTAATTATTAATTAATTAATCACAAAAAAACTATCAAGTAATCAAAAATGCATGAACCCAACAACTCTCTCTCTCTCTCTTTATCTATATATATAAATATATATATATATATATCATATATATATATGATGAGTGCTTGTGTAAATTAAAGGTAGTAGAGCTAGTAAAATCAGGGATGAATTTTAGGATCGGACTGGTTTTGCAAACAATGGTACCCGTTGTTTTTGGGCAAAACCAGAGGCGAATTATTTTGTAATTAAAGAGTTTTTCAAAGTTTGGAGGTTGTGAATATTTAATTATTGTGTTACATTTATGATTTAACAGTGCTTGTCCTAACTCCCACAAAATATTTTTTTTTCTTTCTATATTTAATCTGAGTACGTACAGTATGATTTAGACAACAAAAGCAAGCATGCAGTCACACTTTATGCTAATGGACGAATTGAACCACTGAGTGCGCGTAATTTGTTATTAATTAGTGGAACAAAGTTAAACTAAAGCACGTAATTAATTTAAGGGTTAATATGCTAAGAGTCCTTAAATGAAACCTAATTTAAACTAAATGACAACCTTAAATTCAATCTTTTAATTAAATCCATATTTTAAAATAATATATGACCCACATCCCTAATTTTTATTTTATCCCTAGTTTGCCCTTATACCCTAAATATAATATCCCACGTTTATTCAACTAATCATATTTTTTTTTTGTTTTCTCTCTCGCATCTCGCCGCTCCGATCCCTCTCCCTCTCGCCTCTTCTTCTCAGATTTTTTTTTTTGTTTTCTATCTCGCCTCTCGCCGCTCACTCTCCCTCTCCCTCTCGCCTCTTTATCTTCCGGCAAGGCGTTGTGGTGGTCGAGGCGACGGCGAGGGGTTGTGGTGGTCGTGGCGGTGTTGGGGGTTTGTGGTGGTCGAGGCGGTGTTGGAGGGCTGCGGTGGTCGGCGGTGTTTGGGGGCTGCGGTGGTCGGCGGTGTTGGGGGTTGCGGTGGTCGGCGGTGTTGGGGGGCTTGTTGGGTTTCGGGCACGTATACGCAGCGGAAAACAAAAATTTTACGTGATTTAAACCACTTTAAAGCACACAAGTACATGCCCGACAAATCAAATCAATTAATTGCGTACCTTTGCGCTTCCAGCGAAATTAAAAACAACATACATGCTAATAAATTTAACCGAATTTAAATCAATTAACATGCTCGCAATTTAAACCAAATAACATGCTCGCAACGATTTAATCGATTACACATAATCACATAAAATCATACAAACACAAGCATGAAATCATAGTTTAAATTAAACCCTAAAACGAAACTAGGGTTTCGAGTATTTACCTCTTGACGCGTGAGGTAGGATCGAACGATTCGTCGTGATTGCTACGGAAACCAATCCGTAGAATCGGGGCAGCAATGGAGCAGCAGCAGCGGCGGTGGGGCAGCTCACGGCGGCGCGTGTACAGCACGCGCGGTTGTGCGAGGCGGCGCGTGGGGCAGCGTGCGGCTTCGGCTCCCCGCGTTGCTCCTCGATTCTTCGATCTACGGTCTTCCTCCTCTCGGATTTCACCTCGTATACTTCGATCTACTAAATCGTGGCACTAGACACGAAGTAGTTAGAATAAAACGGAAAGAAAATAAAGGAGAAAGAATACCGAACAAAAGCCGGCCGAGGAACGGCCGTTTCCGGCGACGGAGCGGCGGTGGTGGCGCGGTGGTGGCCGCGCGGAAGAGAGGGCGAGAGAGAGAGGGTGGCCGATTAGGGTTAGGGGTTTTTGTGTGTTGTGTGCTAGGGTTATAAATCATGTATTTATAGTCCCTAGCATGAAACCCTAGCGGGCTTAAGTTGGACTGGGCCCAACAGCTTAAGCTCGTTAGTTTCTTTAATCGCTCGTATCTCTCAATTCAATGATCGAAAAATTGTAACGATTACAATTTCCGAGTCATTATAATTTTCTCGTCATTACGAGTGCCATCTCTTATTTTCCAACTTTCCAAAAGTGGAAACCCTAGTTCAGTGGACTTTCTAAATTTGGAAACTTCCCGATTTAGAAAGTTCACTAACATGTTCGCTTATTCTTTTCCTTTTCTTATTCTCATTCATAATTCCAAATTACGAATGTTGGACTCAATCATATTGACTTCCAATTATGCAAAGATAAACTATTTTATCTCTGACCGTTTATTCAAAGATCTCATGTGCACGAGCAGTGTGACCCTCGATGGTTCAGGTGTAAGCTAGCCGTGGGCCCACAACTCTTTGTGGTCAAAACTCGTCCCCTTCGAGTTACAATTAAGATGAAGCTCGTTTCACCTTAATCACCCAACGAATCAAGATTGGCGTCTAGCAACTACGCGTCATGATTCCCTAGATACAAATGAAGTGCCTGCAAGAACCTTCAGATATAGTTAACGTACAGTACGGTCCCTTCGATTCATATGTCCCGATTGAACTAGAGGCATTGGTTCATCGAGACCTCTTTATATGTTCAATAACGGTGCGATCGTTCTAAGTGTTGTAATCCTTACGTGCATGACTTAAAGAATCGAATTCTCTAATCATCACTTAGTCAGCTCTGGCCAGAGACTTAGAATGAATACAAACTTTCAGAACACACAGGACATCCAAGACTATTCTAGCGATCGAATCCCCGACTACAATGCACAGACCTCCCACTAGATTTCGGACTGCACGAACACTGGCCCTTGGGATGGTCCTCGGTGGAACTCAGGGACAGGTCACGATACAGCTGGTCCTCTAGTGAAGTCACGGTGATGTCTAGGTCATAAGGACTAATGGTGTACAACTATACCATAGATATCTCTACTCGATTATTGGGAACCACTTAGAGATTTCTAGGGTGAGGGAGTTCAGTGAACTCGTCAACTTACGAGCACC